TGGAACAGGGAGAGGAGGCGGTCTTCACAATTAAACCTAAGTATGTTCACATGTGCAAATTCTTACCACTAACTTCATAGTGGTGACATTTTATGTTCATATGAAGTCAGTCCAATTTTAGACTCTTGAACTGCTTTTTCTGCAGCTCTCAAGCATCTCTTTACAGAATATTTCCACAGTTTAAAGATGCTGCTGTAACAGTAAATAAACATTAATTCCTGCAAGAATTAGCTACATGAATTTTTAACTGGATAGTTGTGCAGTCTTTGGTTTTAAGCTAAGTGACAGCATGAGTAATGACTAATATAATCAACTATAACGGTTAAGCTTTGCAATGTGATTAAACAGGAAAATGGCTGCAGAATTATCTCTTTTTTTGCAGTATCCAATACCTTAACTTAAATGGTTTTTAAGTTGCACACCAGCAGTGATTTTTGTGCCCTTTACTCATGACTAATGATATGTTTGTCTGATTTGTTAGATATGGTTTCGGGAATGCAGGAAACGCAAAGTTTAACATTCCTGGTGGAGCGACATTGCAGTACAAGATTAAACTAACAGCTTTTGAGAAGGTAAGGTGGGAGTGTGTGGCAAACACAGCAGCACTTTAGATGCTCATTTACAATATTTTCATCTAAAAAGGAAAATGTGTTCTTTCTATTTTAGGCTAAGGAATCATGGGAAATGAACATCTCAGAAAAGCTGGAGCAGAGCAGCATTGTCAAAGAGAAGGGAACACAGTATTTTAAGGTTTGTTTTGTTTTTTGTTTTAAATTTAAGAAGTGATCCTGTCTTGGATTTCAAGATGTTTTGTGATGCAATGGTTTATATGCTTCAGGAGGGAAAATATAAGCATGCATCAGTGCAGTACAAAAGGATTGTGTCATGGCTGGAACATGAATCTGGTTTGTCAGAAGAGGACGATAAGAAGGCGAAAGCACTGCAGCTCGCTGCACACCTGAATTTGGCCATGTGCTTCCTTAAACTACAGGAGCCAAACAAAGCCCTGGAACACTGTGACAAGGTATCTGGTAACTGTTCTTTGTCTTAAAGCAGCACGTGTGTGTGTGATCAGTGGTTTGTCTTGGTTTTTGCTTAAATACTGAAAACATTTAATTATATTTATGTAATTATATTTAATTATGTTATAGTCGATGGAGTTGGATGCATCCAATGAAAAGGCGTTATTCCGAAGGGGAGAGGCACTGTTTGGAATGAACGAGTTTGAGAAGGCGAGAGATGATTTCCAAAAAGTGGTTCAGCTGTATCCTGCCAACAAAGCTGCCAAGAACCAGGTATAACACAGTGTGCCTTTGATGTGTAATTCAAGCAGCTTTCAATGTTGAAATTTAATCAATCTAAGATGATATTTAATTTTTAAAAAAATCTGTCTCTCTCTGTTATGGCAGTTACAATTCAGTTTGGTTAATGTGTCTAATTTTATTGTACTACCATCCAAAATGAGACAGGTGAATGTTTAATTTATTTTCATGGTGTAAACGAAAGTTTATACTGGATTCATTTAGTAACAAACCAGGATGGGTGAACAAATATGACTGTGCTTCTGGGATTGAAAACGCTGTTTTTTTTAGGTCACTGGTCATAAAACAACTGTTCTGCATATCCAGTCTTTTAGTTGTTGTTGTACCCATAACATATCTGGAAATACAGCAGGGTGACGTCTGCTTTATGTTCTTCCAGGTGCTACTTTGTCAGAAACGTATAAAGGAGCAGCACGAGAAGGACAAACGCATCTATGCCAACATGTTCCAGAAATTTGCAGAGAGGGATTCAAAGGTGATGGATCTGTTTACTAAAACAGCCACAAGAGGGTGTGATAAGCACGATTTTAGGTTTGGCAAAAAGTGAAGGTGTGCTGAACTGGTTTGTGTCTCGTGAACAGAAAGAAGCAGAGAAGGGGAAGAGTGAGAGCGTGGAGAACGGAGAAGATGCGATGGAGGTTGAAAACGGAGAAAAGGAAGCTGGGGGTGAAGCAAAAGCGTAGATGAAGATGCAGCTTTTTTTATTTTTTGTCTTCTTTTTTTTTTTTTCCCCTTTCCTATTCTCTCCTGCGGTTCATCTGTACTTCAGACTTTTGTAACTCTGGCCATTTGTGTTTAAGGTGTGATTGTTTGTGTGTGAGAATGAGTATGTCATCGACAACACTGACCTTGGGCACGTCCTCGCTGGCTTTCTTCTTGTTGGGCTTTTTGCTGTGGCAGCTAGCCAACTGTGGGGTGGGGTGTCGTCAGGCACCGTGGGACGTGGATTTAAATGAATTGTATGCTACAGTCCTACACCCCCCCCCCCCAACCCCTCCCCCTCAACTCTGAACTGTGCATGTGGTTTCAAAAGAATTTGGGAAGTGTGGGGGGGAATTGCATCCAAAATGTTAAGTGCTGAATTTCAGAACCTTCACCCGTCAAGGGCTAGACCATCCCCCACCTTGCACTACCTTCTGTATGACCCACCCTATGTTTTTTGCTGTCCATCCGAGCCTCCTCATGGGCCTACTGATCAATTCCTAGAGTTGTGATGGCTGTGTGCATAGATCCACTGTGTTTTCAATGTTAGTGCCTATGTCCCAAAGTATGTATGTAGCAGCACTGTGGATAGGTGGAGTAATAAGATGTTGGTGTGAAATAGCTGTCAGACTTGGAGCTTTTCTCTCAGTTTAAAATGGAGTTCACTTTTAACCCCTAGGGTACAGGACTGTTCACCTTCTGCTTTGGAAATGATTTTTTTTGTACTTTTTATTTCCTAGTGTTGTGCTTGTGATTCTGTATTGTTCTCAAAACTACAAATACAACAGTTTACTTAACTGGAATATGTGCATTTTTAAAGCAGCTACAGTAGAAACTACCTGAATTAGCTTCTCCTGGACGCCCTCGAGTATTAAGCAGTTAAGTCTTAATTTACTGTAAAAAAAGTACTTGTATGAAAGTGTACATATTTGGCTTGTCAGATTCAGGTTTAGACTGTACATGAGAGGATTAAATGAACCTTTATTCATTTTAGTCAGCAGTGCCTGCAGGAAAGGGATGAAAAACCAAATGAGAGGCCCGGTTTTTTAAAAACATGGCTGTGGGTTGTATGTACAGCTCATCTTTGTTGGGGGGGAAAAGTCACTGCTTGTTCTGTCCTGACAGAAGGATTTAATAAACAAATGGATACAACTCAGCTGCGTGTGATATTTTTGACTTGTACATGCATTTCCTCCCACTTTTCGTTGGTCACGTGAGGAACTTGAGAACCTGTGATGTATCCATCGACACAAAGTGTGCAAAATAAAGAATCTGCTGACAGTGTCACACGAGGAGGGCGACTCCTCAGCTGGACTTGTGCTCTATGATGAGGAATTTGTTTATACGTTAAGCAAAATTAAATTGACCTGATTTTAAATGTTTAAAGGTTGTACGAGTTGATGATAGCCATTTAACCTGTAATAAGTTTGATTTGTAATATTTGCATTGCAAGTTAACTGAATTTGGTGTTTGCACTGTCTGTCACATAAAGTAAGCTACTGCAAAAAGATGTGATGGGGTGGGACGGTAAATGCATTTTTTTTTTTTTTTAATTATTATTGTTTCATATTGTGCTTTAATGAAACATAAGGTTAACTAAGCTGTTTACTCTCCATCTTTATGGGAGGAATATTAAAATCTCTGTGCAAAAATACCAGTGTTGTGTGTATTTTGAAAATTAAAACTACCGAGCTTGCACCTGTGACAGTCAGGAGGCCTTGTCTTGAGGAGGAAGAGGTGTTTATCTGATCCTCAAGCTCTCTCACTCAGCTTACAGATGTGCTTTCTCTCCCTCTGGGGTAGTTATGACCCAGTACTGCTTATTCTCCACAGAAGTCAAAAGTATTAAAAAAATCTTTTCTTTACAGTGTTTAACTTTTTACAGACATTTCTTCTGAGAAGATCTCCTTTTAGTGACTCAGCATTTTAAAGGCAGACAGGTGTGGGGATCGCGCTTACCTGGGAGGGTCTGCTTTCTTTTGTGTTCCCTATGCCATGAGCCCTTTGTTCTTTTATTTGCTGCTCTTGATTTTAGACATACAGTATCAGAGTGGTTATATAATCCATATAGCCACTGGCATTTTTGATCATGTCTATGATTATGAACAGATGGAGGCAACACTGGATATAAATAAATGTAAAAAAAATAAACAATTTTAATTCAATAGGGAAAAAACCCTTTTACTTTTTATTTGTTTATAGTCTTAACCATTATCCCTTAATGATCCCATGCATCCACTGAATAGCACTTTGGATTAGTCATGGTGGCTGTTAAATCATTGGTAATATTGTTTCTTAGGCGTGTTTGTTATTCAGAAAAGTCACACGCACCCTCAAAGTCTGGCAACAATTTTTTTGTTTTGCTTTTTAGATTTGAAGACAATTTTTACGTTGTCTAACTTTATTACAAATGTGTAATTGTAACATACGAATACATGTTACGTGTGAAACGTAGGAAAAATCTCGAAAGGCAACAAAATCCAGGAAGCATTTGTTGCTATACCTGTTGCAGGTAAATCCCAGGGTAAAGGGTGTGTGTGTGTGTGTGTGTGTGTTCGCTGAACGTGTTTACTCCTCCCTTTAATCTCAGCGGTGTGTAACGTCGAGCTAGCTAGAATACTAAAGAGTGTTTCCTGTTTCAGATTTCAAAATAAATCACAAGCGTGCAAAAGTTGTGACCTGAGGAGCTCGGAAAGAAGGGAAACGTTTCGCTACAGGAAATAAAATATATCATTATATTTCACGTTGATGAAACTTTGCGCTGAAGTAATTTTGCCATATTTGTGCGAGTATTCGCAGATCAAGTATTATTTTTTCTTTCACATGATCACGATCGTGCTTTTACGTTGACGGCAAAGCTGGTCCTATTCTGGCCGCTTACTAGCTCCTTCCATCTGGCTTCTTTAAATTGTGTGGAGGATGGTGAGGGGAGGGGAGGTGAAGATTTCATTCCTTGCTGAGTTCTTTGTACCGAGCTGCGTGCGCTTCATGTGGTACTAGCAGGAACAGAGGTCAGGTCTCAAGCCGGGCGCTCAAGGAGCAATAGGAGACCTATTAAAAGTTTTAGATGATCGAGAGTGCCCAGTGTAGGTCACCGGCTGGCCCAGGGCAAGGTGGGATTTTTCTCCGGATGAGAGGCACCAGGGGACCCGAGCGCCGGGGATATCCAGGGTGCCGGTGATAGTGCGCATCCACCGGGAGCAGCGGTGGGCGGCAGGCGGACGTGCTCAGGGCGCGTTCCGTCCCCTACTCATGACAAAGCGGGTGAGGAACTCGGGAGCAAGTTTCCCCCGGGAGTCAAAATGATCACGTCGTTTTTCCCCTTGAAGAAACTGCGGCGAAATGGCAAATATCTCCTGTTCGGTGCGATCCTGCTGGCGGGATTGGTGGCCGTGTACCACGAGATGGTTGCTGCAAAAGAATGGAGGAGTGATATGAGTAAGTTTATGGTTTATGATTTCCAGTACGCGCACTGCTACTCACAGAGTGTCACTCAAACCTTTGCTGATGCACCATTCAGACGGAGTTTCTATTTATGATAATTATGCAGTAGCGATAGCAAGTGAACATGCGCATGCGGGAGGGAGGGGGGGGGAGAGAAATATAGCCGAACAAAAGTAAAAAGGTTTGGACTGTATTACGCATTTGAGCGTGCATGATATAAGCTATTTGTCACGTATCACACATTTCCATGGCACTGTGGTGTTGAACAGTCCACATCATTTACAAAAATAAGGAAACACAAACATGAAATACTGCTAAGGCCACTGTAAAAATGAGTCATCACCAAAAACAATGTATGAAGTTGTTTGGTGACATTTTTTATTATGTGAAGTTGGAAGTCAGAAAACGAAGTCGCAAAAGATTTGTTTATTTGCATGAAAGATTTGAACGCATGTGCATTTTAAACAAGTTTTCACATCTAACATCTGCTTTAGCTTTCATGATGTTGGATGCATTTCCTCAGGAAACTTGAGCCTTCAGCAGGTGAAACAGCAGGTTGATTTAGGGAAAGAAAGACAGTAAGAAGGGGGTTGGGGAGGTCAGGAGGTCACATAGTAGGTTTACACTCAGAAGGAAATCTAGTCTCACACTGGGTAACCAGATTTCCTGCTTTCTACCCTCACACGTTGCCTTACCGTCTGTCGCAGCACACATACACACACACACAGCACAAAACAGATGAAAGGAAACAACAGTGGGGTTGTTGAGAGAAACAGAAACATATGACTCGCTCAGTCTGAGCACAGCATCAGCATGTAAACACATGCCTAGATCTACATTAGAGGGCTCGCCTATATGTGCACACATTCCTGGGCTGAAGCCCCCCGGCCACAGTGGGGCTTCTATTGAGAGAAGGACTCCACAAAGCTCTTCAAACAGAGCTGTATTAAAATCCTAACATGGATAAATAATTGGCAGGTGCAGTTAAGCACATGACTTCAGTTGCAAGTGGTCAGTATGAGGTTTCTTTTCCCCCCCCCTTTTTTACACAGTTCATAAGACAAGACAGACGTTTTTAAAAATGTTGTAACTTGATTGTTATAACATACATGTACATGACTTTGAGTGAACAAAATGTGTCATGGCTCACATAAAAAAAGCCCAAAACACATAATTCAAGTCAGTCTGTTACATAATTACAAGAGAAAGAACCAACAGCAATTAAAAATGATATTTATTAAGAGTTTTTAGAACCTTGTATTGAGGGTCAAAATGAGGTCCACTATGGGGATGTTGTGCCTATTCGTGATGCCATGTGGCTGCTGTTTTAAAGTATGCTTGTTGAGTGATTTGCATGGCTCGCCAGCAGCTTGAATTGCACTTTTGGAGCTATGCAGAAATGTCTTCTTCATGTGGAATTCACTGAGGTTTAAAATGTGCTATCCTAGAGTACACTTTGTGGGTCAGAGCAGCACTTTATATCTTTAATGGGTCATAATCTGTTCACACACACTTTCATTAAGAACGACTTCTCACAAGTCCAATTTCTTTTTACCCTAAATGCGGTTTACGACTCCCCCACAACTCTGGTTTTTTTCTACCTTTTGGGAAAATATAATCACCCAAGTTCCGTTTTATTTCCCACCTTTTTAAGAATGCATGCCCGATCTACACCTGCAATTAATGTATTCTCCCCCCTCACCCATCACCACTGCATTTGTGAAATTTGCTTTTGCAGTTTTTGCAGAGATCACCTTGGTGGAGAAAAGTGCATCAAGGTGAATTAAAGGAAGTGCGTAAGTCATCAGGAAACTTCACATGCAGATCTTTTATTTGTGCAGCAGGTTACTCACTCACTCAGGTTAATCACCTTTAAACTAGACAAACAGCAGTTTTTATGGGACGGGCTTTTTTTTCTGAGATCATATGAGCACTACAACTAACAACGTAGATGTTTGCTGCAGTAAAGCAGTTAATAACTGGCCCAGCAGAATAAAGATGGCCATTGTGTGCATGACTTATATGTGATAATTCCATGCAATGGACACGTGGCCTAGATTTTTAATAACCCTTTGGTAAAAGTCGAGAACTAGTAGTTAAACTCATAATGTGCAATTTATTATCCAATTAATTTGGTTGACATCTACACACACAGAAAAAAAATTGTGATGCAGACAAAGATCCAATGGCCACATGCAAGGTCAAGTGACTTATTTAATTAAATAGCTTGAAGAGCATAGGCCTCAGTTAAGGCTTCTAGTCCAGTTTTGTGTGATATATACAGTGGGGCAAAAAAGTATTTAGTCAGCCACCGATTGTGCAAGTTCCCCCACTTAAAATGATGACAGAGGTCAGTAATTTGCACCAGAGGTACACTTCAACTGTGAGAGACAGAATGTGAAAAAAAAAATCCATGAATCCACATGGTAGGATTTGTAAAGAATTTATTCGTAAATCAGGGTGGAAAATAAGTATTTGGTCAATAACAAAAATACAACTCAATACTTTGTAACATAACCTTTGTTGGCAATAACAGAGGTCAAACGTTTACTATAGGTCTTTACCAGGTTTGCACACACAGTAGCTGGTATTTTGGCCCATTCCTCCATGCAGATCTTCTCGAGAGCAGTGATGTTTTGGGGCTGTCGCCGAGCAACACGGACTTTCAACTCCCACCACAGATTTTCTATGGGGTTGAGGTCTGGAGACTGGCTAGGCCACTCCAGGACTTTCAAATGCTTCTTACGGAGCCACTCCTTTGTTGCCCGGGCGGTGTGTTTTGGATCATTGTCATGTTGAAGACCCAGCCTCGTTTCATCTTCAAAGTTCTCACTGATGGAAGGAGGTTTTGGCTCAAAATCTCACAATACATGGCCCCATTCATTCTGTCCTTAACACGGATCAGTCGTCCTGTCCCCTTGGCAGAAAAACAGCCCCATAGCATGATGTTTCCACCCCCATGCTTCACAGTAGGTATGGTGTTCTTGGGATGCAACTCAGTATTCTTCGTCCTCCAAACACGACGAGTTGAGTTTATACCAAAAAGTTCTACTTTGGTTTCATCTGACCACATGACATTCTCCCAATCCTCTGCTGTATCATCCATGTGCTCTCTGGCAAACTTCAGACGGGCCTGGACATGCACTGGCTTCAGCAGCGGAACACGTCTGGCACTGCGGGATTTGATTCCCTGCCGTTGTAGTGTGTTACTGATGGTGACCTTTGTTACTTTGGTCCCAGCTCTCTGCAGGTCATTCACCAGGTCCCCCGTGTGGTTCTGGGATCTTTGCTCACCGTTCTCATGATCATTTTGACCCCACGGGATGAGATCTTGCGTGGAGCCCCAGATCGAGGGAGATTATCAGTGGTCTTGTATGTCTTCCATTTTCTGATGATTGCTCCCACAGTTGATTTTTTTCACACCAAGCTGCTTGCCTATTGTAGATTCACTCTTCCCAGTCTGGTGCAGGTCTACAATACTTTTCCTGGTGCCCTTCGAAAGCTCTTTGGTCTTGGCCATGGCGGCGTTCGGAGTCTGACTGTTTGAGGCTGTGGACAGGTGTCTTTTATACAGATGATGAGTTCAAACAGGTGCCATTCATACAGGTAACGAGTGGGGGACAGAAAAGCTTCTTACAGGAGACGTTACAGGTCTGTGAGAGCCAGAGATTTTCCTTGTTTGAGGTGACCAAATACTTATTTTCCACCCTGATTTACGAATAAATTCTTTACAAATCCTACCATGTGAATTCATGGATTTTTCTTTCACGTTCTGTCTCTCACAGTTGAAGTGTACCTCTGGTGCAAATTACTGACCTCTGTCATCATTTTAAGTGGGGGACCTTGCACAATCGGTGGCTGACTAAATACTTTTTTGCCCCACTGTATCTGTAAGCGAAAACAAAACAATATCTTTAAAAATGGCATTTTTCCACACAGCAGGAGCCCTTATTGGGAAATACTACAAAATTGTTTGATTTATGCATTGTATGCTTGGACTGGGGAAGAAGTGCTGTGTGATAATGCAAATTGTGGCATCAATCCAATACCAAGTAAACACAGTACTGCCGATACCAATACCGACACTGATATTTTTAACTTCTAAAGACAGCTTGTGTAAGGGGGAGCAGTGTGTCATGATTTATAAGACGAATCATCGTCACTTGCCGAATTCTGAACACATTTTAATGAGCCCCTAAATCACTATGATTTTTACTGTCCACAATAATTTAACACAACAGCACACACATTTCAGATTTTCATGTATTTTGAAACTGGGTTGGTTTTTGGGGTTTGTTTGTGTTTTGAGACCCGGAATGTGAATGTGCCCCTAAAGTAAATATTGGTACTTTTTGAGATTTGAATGGCACTTTACTTTTTGCAAGAGGCTACAAATAAAATAGACATGACAGTCAACACAAAAAGGTTCCTCTTTCATCGTGCATGTGGGAGGTATATTTTTCGTTTCCCAAAAAATTATTAACACAATTCAGTGGGCTGCATATTGAACTTAGAGGCTAGACACATAGTATCGATCCTGTCGTGCTAGTATTGATCCAATACCAATACCAGGGTTAGTATCGATATTTAGATCGATCTGTCCACCTGTCCAACTTTATATGGAAGCCCCTTTGCGGGAGTACAAAGACATGACCTCACAGCCACTTTGGTAGCTACCATTTGGCTTTATTATTCTGTAAAACTACGCCACAAAGGTCCTTATAAAAACCTTTCTGAGGCACGTTTTTAGAAATGTTACCAGGAAAAAAAAAATCTTTGTCATAAAATCCAAGATGTCAGGCACAAGTGGATCAAAGACATTCTGTTGGATTTCCTCTGTGAAAATTGTGCACGTTGTTCAAAGGTTTCAAGCTTTCTTATTTGAGGTAAATACACAATATAGACAAAAGTACTGGGGCACTTACACATTACACCTACAGTAGCTGTTCAGCCATGCAAACACATTCTACGTACGAAGCTCGTGGCACAGATTTTATTTGCTGATGTTAATGCCAGAGGAGCTTTGATACTCAGCAGTTAATGAGTCAGCAAAGCGTCGGTGGCTCTATACACCTCGGTGATCCCATTCTGTAAGTTTATGTAGTCTGCTACTTCATGGTTGAGTTTCTGTGGTTCTTAAACACTTCCACTTTGCAGCAATACCACTCACAGCTGATGGTGGAAGATCTGAGAGGTAAAACATGTCATAAGCTGAGTTGGGGCAGTGGAGGCATCTTATTACAAGACCAAGCTTAAATTCACTGAGCACTAGAAAGGCCTACTGTATCACAAATGTTTGCAAAAGGCAGAAAGCATAGCTGGATGCTTGGTTTTATACACATGTAGTAATGGGACTAAAAACCCTGAATTAAAAGATTAAAAGATGTGACCCAGAGGTCAAGAAACATCCATCTCAAGATATGACTTCCTGATCTTTGATCTTTGATCCATACTCATCGACACACACCATCTCCACCTTGGAGACGCTGTCCCAGGCTATTGTTGCCGCCACCTTCACTTCTTGATCTGCCTTTGTCTATGGTTTACAGAAAGTGAACCGTATGCTGAGCTTAATTGGGATCAGGAGATATATTTGGCAACTTGGGGACATTGCAACACTTTACAGAAACTCTTTGTTTGCTTATAGGATTTTGGTTTTTATATATTGTGCATTCAGGGCATCTATCAGGAGACAAATCATCTCGTGTGCAAAGGTACTACTTTCAGTAAACCATAACTGCTCAGTTACCACGTTTGGTTGATTCCAGTTTTCTGCATAGTTAACATAGAACACAGCGTTACACCTCCGCTGTTCCACTTTTTTTTAAAACAACTGCAAGTAAGCTTTCATGCTTTTTGAGGCTTACCAGCGGTTTGTCTCTTGTGGTGAGTTGTCTGAGGCTTTGGTAATGAAGGTTTTTTTTCCTCTTTGCAAAGAAAAATGTACGCCTACATCCTGGAAATTTACCTCTCATTTTCAGAGCCAGTTCCACTTCAGTTAAAAAGGCAACGTTTAACTCTCGGTGTATGAGTTCAGCTGAAACAACACAGAAGCTCAAGAAATATTATGCATCCATTTGACACATTGCTTTTAAAACTTGCTGTATAAAATCTATGCATCTCACAAACAGTTTAAAAAAAAATCCTGTTGTAAACCTTCTTAACACTAAAACTTCAAGCACATAATCCAAAGAATACTGTGGACACTTAATTTGCATGCTAAAGCATGCAAATGAAGCTTTTTTTTTTAAATGTTGTAAATGATATATTTGATTATATTCTGTTTTGCATGTTATCACACAGCCTCTCCCTTTTATTCAACACTTTAACTAAATGTCTGTTAGCAACATTTTTTTGACAGAATAAGAAGAGTAGGACTGCTAAACTGGTATGTTGTGTCCAAAGTGGACAGAAAAAAAAACACTAAAACAGCAACAATGTGACAAGAGATTTAAAAAAAAAAAATTGTTTTCCTGCCATATATGGACGCAGAAAGCTAGTGAAACCCTGCTGCATCCTTCTTATCACCTGAAGTGTCCACCCTGACAGTAAATTTCGCAATACATTCCACGGAAAGTAGAAAAAAACATGACAGGGAAGGTTTAGTAAGAAGAGGAGAGGAGTGCACATAGAGATGAAAAGTACTCCACTGTTGCTTTCCTTATCCACGGCTCTAGAATTACTTGTGCTGCTAAAATTGGAACGTATGTCACAAGGGTGTGTGTTAGGAGATCTCCACCCTGGCGATAATGACAGACCATCACTGCAGTAACTCCAGTTCACTGCTGACACCACATGGTCGTAAAAAAAGAAAAGAAAGACAGACAAATAGGTCCTGTTTTAAAATACACCCTGTCCTGTAATTTGAAGGATGATGGAAGAAGTCAGCAGGAATAATATTTGAGCATCTGCTCTGCCAGAGCGCCAGAGATGTTTGCCTTTTTTTTTTTTTTTTTTTTTTTTTTTTTTTTTTTTTTGGCCTGTCCCGTTTGGCTCTTTTGCCATCAGAATTGTTGTCTAAAGGCAAAGAAAGATGCCCAACGGGATTTACTTTACCAAACTGACCATCCCAGCCTTGCCGTAATGGTCCATTTGATTCACCTTTTATTGTTTATTTTATTTTCACTTACTGAATACGGGACAGACTTGACTGGGGGAAAGAAGGGGAGAAAGAAAGAGGGAAAGAGAAACAGCTGAGAAGAGACGGGGGAGAAGGGCAAAAGACAAAAACCAACCGAACGGGAGAAAAAAAATGCATATATCAATCACCTGGATCACCTGCTGAGAAAGAAAAAAGAAAGCAAGCAGAAGAGAACAAGAGTAATAGAATAAACAACATCACAATGATATATGGGAATATGACAGTAAATACTAAATGGTAAACATTATTGTGCAGCACATAAGATCAACAGAACACAGTGTGCTTTGAGGTAGGAGCCAAAAAGGGTGTAGTTTGTGGGTGTGATCACCCGTGTGTACACCTGTGAGCATGGACGCGCTTTTTTTTGTTTTTTTTTTTTTTTTTTTTTTTTTTTTTTTTTTGTTTTTTTGGGGGGCCACAGCCCCGTCCTCCAGGGCGTGAAGCAGGTGTGGAGGAGATCAAAACTCCAGACATCCAGAGGCCCCAGAACACAAGAGACCAAGGAAGACCAACAGAGGGGCAGCTGGGCCACTGTCCCGGAAAGAGCTGAGGAGAGTCCCAGATGAGGGCTCACTCAGCAGCTGCGGAGCAGAAGCCAGGGGGAGTTGCAGTGACGCGCCCGTGAGCTCCGCCGGCAGCCAGCTGCGCCTGAGTGACCGAGCCCCAGGCCGAGAGGCCGGGGCACCCCACCTCCGAAGTGGCCCGAGCGAGCCCCAGGCTCCAGGCCCCGATAAGCGGCCGCCAAGGAGTGAGCCGGTGTGTACCTGGACGCCCATCCCCGGACACAAAGAACCACCAACGCACCGATGTCTGAGGGGGTCCGCCACTGGCAGGGGAAGTGGTGGTAGGGGAGATAGACCTCCAAACCTTGGAGGGCCTGAGATGTCCCCAGAGAGGTGGCGCCTGACACCCAACCTGACATATAGACACAGACATACAGGCACACACAGATACAAACATCCATTCCCACCCTCATGCTCTCATATGCACTTACTCCACACTCAACCAACGTGGAGACAGACATAAAGAGACGTTGTACACACGATCACACTCCCCAAGCGTACTCTACAAACCGGGTCTAGGTGCCCTCGCCCCTGGAGGGGGAACTGCACCCAGACCCAGGTGGTGTTTCCCTTTTCCCTGCGGTGGGGGGAGGCAGACTGCCCCGACTCCGCAGCAGCAGGAAGGCTCCACACTCCAGACCGCAGTCGGACGGCCAACTCCTCCTCCTAGCCCCCCTGCTCCAGCAGGTCGCAGAGAACGGGGGTGAGAGAAGACTCCAAACCTCCCTCCACCCGCTCATTGTAATGTTGATGCATGTGTGTTCTAAAAGAAAGACAGACAAATAGGTCCTGTTTTAAAATACACCCTGTCCTGTAATTTGAAGGATGATGGAAGAAGTCAGCAGGAATAATATTTGAGCATCTGCTCTGCCAGAGCGCCAGAGATGTTTGCCAACGCGGGAGCCCTATGCCATAGCAGCTCTTTGAAGCCTGTCACTGAGATGAGCTATGTTCAGGGACTATGAGCAGTGAGTCTCTGCTTAGACACCGGCCTGATTGTTGTGTGCAATGCATGGGCAGAGTTTATCATTTATGCATGGACGTGTAGCGTGCCTACCGCTCCTCACATGCAACCCAGATAGAGTTTCTTTTATGTCACAAGTTGTAAGAAGCAGATTGGGATTTTTTGTTTAGAATGCATTTTGATTGGATGTGCACCTACTGGGGAAGCCTCAAGTCGCTTTAAAATAACAACTTTCACAGAGATGATGTGACCATGTTGACTATTGTCTTCACCTATATCCTCAGGTCCAATTACTGACGCTGACCACGTCAGCTGGAGGAGAGACGTGTTTGAAAATAGGGTAAGGATGGCACCCGAGAGTGTTTGTTTTTTCAGAAAGGAAACCAAAACTAAACCAAGTTTAATATTTGTTTTTACAGGCAAAAAAGGACCATCAGCCAAACACTGTTGGGACAGCAGTGCTTGGGTCTCCAGTTATGCTCCACAACCTTGGAAACCAGAGGTGTGTGCGCTTGCCCATACCTAGTGGCCCAGTGGCCTCCCTCAGTCCCTCCGTTTATAGTGTGACTCCATTTCAGAAGCTTCCCTGCTTTGTGTTAATGTTTCGAATATTTCATGTCAGGTGTAACCGGTTCCTGTTTATGTTTTTGTTTTGAGCCAGTGTTGCCTATTTCAACAGCAGTATTGCATGATTAAACAGACAGACCTGGCAAACAGGGCATCAGAGATTCTATTATAGATACACAGTTTACAAATCATCCACAATAACAAATCAGGAACAAAAAAGGTGCGGTTTCTAACAAATTTAAGAGCATTCACACTGACCAAGGGTACATTTTTCTTCTTTATTATCAACTTAATGTCTCACTGGTAATCGGGGGTTGGCCACATATTTTAAAGTGTTTTTCTCACTTCTATTGTCACTCTGGGGACAAACATTTGGAAAATATCACAAGGGTTGAGACAGCACAGGCGAGGAACATAGGAGGATAAGAGGAAACCAGCCTAAGCAGATATTGAAATGTAAAAAACAACCAACAGAAAAGTCTGCAGACATGCATAGATTGCTACATAGCTGCACCCTTTTAAGACGTCAAGGATTTACACACAATTTACAGCACAATATTAGTATACATCTTCTTTGGGTCCTGATCAGGTGCACTGATAAAGAGCAAGAACAAAAGTTGCAGAAATCATGCAAAGAGAAAAACAAAAAAAGAACCTTAATTTTCAGTTTTGTAGATGAAATGCAAATACTAACCACTGCATATAAAATATATTTATCCATAAAACATTTTTTGTTAGTTTTGATGAAATACCTGTAATTTTATTCCATCTAACTATGACTTACTTTCCTGTTAATTTGCTGAAATCTTTCTTGATAAACTGACTCACTTTGGGGTTTTTAATGTACAGTCAAGTGAAAGGAAAGCCACATGTACCCAACAACAAACAAGTGTCACGTATCTGCTTTGAGAAAAAAACCCTTTTGATATCAATGTCTTTATTAGTTCTACAGTCAGTATTCCTCAGTTTTACATGATTTTGTGCACACTGTATGCCCCTGTAGTAGATTTGTCTATAGTTTTGTGTTTTTTGTCAAGGAAGAGGTTGATAAGTTTTTTACAAAATGTTATTATTGAGTTATAAGTAATATTGCTGTGAAAAACGATGTAAAACTAGGCTAATGTCTCGGAGAATTAACAAAGCTCAAAAATGCTTTGATGAAGCGCCACACGTAGCAGGCTAGTTATTGAAAAATAGAGTTTTAGCAGAAGCAAATTGAGCTTTACAACAAAAGGGCTCCTTAAACTCACCGCCTTTTGATTTTGAGTAAGAATCTCCTTAAATGATTACAAGCTACACTCTCAGTCATCATTTTACGGCATTTTGTGTAAACTTGTGAGCTTCAGTCATGCTAATATTTAACTAACTAGCCTGACCACTACTGAAATCTGATGAGCTGCTTGGCTACATTTGGCTCCGATCTGCACTGTTATGTCCCTTTGGCGAAACCAACACACACTCACTCACACACTCAAACACACACGCACACACAGATCAGATAACATGGCCTCTTTGGCAGATATCACAGAGGTATATGTTTACAGGACATCTGTGCATCTACTGAAACTCAGCTGCTTCTTCATTTACGTGTTCGTGTTCCAGTGTTTCTTATTGACTTTCACTGAGCATTTGAACTGCAAATGAGAAAAGTGATTTAGACTGTTGCTCCAACTTCTGTGCCTTTAAATACAGTAAACATACAAGTTCTGTGTTAAAGTCACTGTCACTCTCCTGTGTTGCAGTATAAGGGACAGGCCAATCTGCATGTGTTTGAGGACTGGTGTGGCAGTTCAACGGCCGATCTTCGCAAAAACCTGCATTACCCGCTTTACCCTCATGTGAGTCAAAATGCCCAACTTCTCAGTTGTCACAGTCAAATGTAAACCTTCACTGAGTCAGACAATCTTAAACTAGATTTGACAAACCTCAGAAGAGGAAACATTCACAAGAGCACAAGCACAGTTTACAAGGAATCATTAAACACGTTGGCGAAAAAAACCCATTTCTTAATAAAACTCGTTTTATTAATGGTTAGAATATGGTTATTCATTAATCTTGCTTAACTGATGATTTACATTTTTAGCCACTGTGGCCATTGTGTGACCAAATATATGAAAACCAAATAGCATTCCAGCCAGGCTAAAATGGTAATTTGCAAAAACTGTACTAGGATGCTAACATGCCAAATGTAACAGGTAAACATAGTAAACATTATTCCTGCTATATATAATTATGTTAGTACTGAGTCCTTTCTCATTGTCATATTATACTGGTTTTGCAGAAAACTGCCCAGTATGTGTGATGTTATATTCCTAGTAAAACTTCATTAAAAAAAAGTTTTTTTATTTCTTTCACGTTTTATGTGTAAAAGTATAAAAGTAGTAGAAGCATAGGCAGAAGATTGTCACCAGAGAATACCACCAAACTCAGATAACCCATAGATATCACCTCCTCTTGCATGTAAGTATTTGTGGTTGGATGTGAAAGAAGACACTCGTGCACACACTCTCACACACGCACAGTTGGTTTTACTCAGTGGTACATTATACGTCTTCATGCCAGATTTTCACGTTCCTGAGTTCACGCCATGGTTCAGATACCTCGGAACTCGGGAGTAATGTCAATCTCAGGTTAGTGCATTACAGGAAAAGCGACAT